TTACGTATCAGGACATAATAAAAATCATCTGGTCCTTAGCAGTTCTCAAAAGTAGGTAAATACAACCAATGCGTTGGTCTTTTTTTCCTAAGGCTTCCACACTCTCCAAGCAAGCAGATGGAGCAGCTCCTTCTTCAGGTTCTTCTTTTACTTCAACAAGGGCACCCTCTTAGAAAGATTCAGATAATTTTTCAAATTAGAACTTCAAATGAAAAGGCAACAAGAAAGAGCCAGAATTTTGCACCAATATTTTTCAGAAATAAACAATACCTATGTTTCACTAGCATCCACTGTATAAAGCAATTCCTGATAATTTTTCACTTAATACTTTCTGTTAGTATGAGCATAATTTGGTTGAACATTCCTTGCCCACATCTCCAAATTGCAAACGAAGCAAAAGTATATATTTCAATAATTTCATGCAGCTATTCTTTGCTGTCCTAAAATTAGGATAGGTGGAGAGCTGTACACAGTTCTGCAAGAACTCCCTTAAGAAGTAGCAAGATCTTCTCATGTACTTGTCTTTCATTTTTGTTTTGTATTCTAAATTTTTCTGGTGAGATGCATCAGACTGGTATCACTTGAAATTTGATAAATAGGACCAATACGAAAAACCCTGTTTTTGTAAACTTTTCCCATAATATTAAAAAAAAAAACCTCTAAAAATCCACCTCTTGTTTCTATGATTTTTGTTTCCCTTCCCCATTCATAACCTATTTATATGATTTGGTTCATTTTCTTCAATTCTCTAATGAGACTTTTTGGCATTGACTGCTGTACTTAATCCTGCAATTGCTGGGACAAACTGTTTAATACTTACCCTGTTTGGCAACTGCTCCTTCTTATGTTGCTTTTCTCCCTCCAAACTGCAGTTCTTTTTTAAAATGAGAGAAACCAGTCACAAATATTAACCCTCGTAGTTTAGTCCTCCAATCCCTGCAACCTACTCACACTGGCATGTATTTAGATGTCACACAGGAATTCCCTGGGCTGACAGAAAACAAATAAGAACATGACTTTGCGATAACACAAGAGAGCAGAATGGTCAAAGGTGCTTTACTTTGGATAGTGGAGAGGAAGAAGGGGACAAAGGGCTGTTATTCTGGAATAAGCACATCAGCAAATGGTTTAACCTGGATTGATAGCCTTTAGTAGCCAGTAAACTAATTATGTAAATTCCTCCCAGATGCAAAGTCAAGCTGAACCACAAATCAGATAAAGGTGTTCACATTTCTTGCTGATGTTTCAAAACTGATCCAGCAATTTACTGGTATCTCCAATACCATTAGCCCTCTTGTGCAGGATAATTTGCCACCCCCTGCCCTCACCCCCCAAAATTCTTCAACCTCAACTTCTATATGCCGAAAAGTAGCTTTATGAACAATCCAAGTCCACCTTTCCTGTAGATGAGACACCAGTGACCAGTGCTGGGAATCCTGAAGGATCCTTGCAAGCTGGGATTTCCTTATGTCTCATGCTGCTAACTAGCGCTATGTTTCACTGCCTTTCTTATTGCTGCTCCTGGTTTTTATTGTCTCTTATGCTGCTTTAGGGGTTGGTTTCTAAAGTTTGTATATTATTTTATTTTATTTTCATATTGTCTTTATGCTGTTTTTCTATAAGATTATTTCTTTTATAATAATAAGTTTTAACTGATTGTCCACCACCCAGAGAACTCCTGGTATTCAGGTACAACAGAAAATAATATAAGTTGCTATATTTGATTTCAAAGGAAAAAGAGGCATCATGGAGCTAGAAGACATAGCTCCTCTCAAATAAGTGGGGGTGGGGGGGAACACAATAAAAATCAATGGAAAACCCACAACCATACGCACACTGACAGCAATCTCCAACAGCTCAAATAGCATTCCACAAGAAAAATTAAACAGTGAGAAGAAATCCAAGAACTTCTGATAAGTGGTATTTATGAAGAAAAGGGCCATACCAAAGAGTTTCAGAAACTGCTGTAAATAGGATGAATCAGCATATGTTTTTGGCTCTTCCAAGCTGGGACAGAAATGAAAATCCCCTGCAGAGTTGTGCCTTTGATATGTCATATCTTGTAGTGTCTGCTTGCATAACACTTTGGGAACAGAGATAACTAGTTTCCATTCTTTTTCTTCTTCCCCATCCTATTCCTTCCTTCCTTTTATAACATAATTCAATCTTTTATACATACTGTCCTTATAAGAAAGAGGAGACTATATTAATATTATTCTCCCCAACATTAGTACGCTAAAGTTTGGGGAGCGTGGTGGTGCAAAAAGCATGTGCATCAGCCATTCCACTGATACTCTAATTCTCTTGGTTGTAATGTGGATTGGAGACAGTTTTTACGGGGAACATTCAGGTGATCCATCTATTCCCTTTATGCAGAATTTTTCTACAGGTCAGACAAGGGCGGTGGGTAGTGTCATGCCTTGGAAACACAACAGAATGCCCCTAATTAGCTGTCTAATGAGCTTTAAGTCTCTGGAGAAGGAATAGCAGCACAGACTATGCAATGGGTAAACCCATTTCCACTTCACTCTAAATTTCCATAGAGAATTGAATGCCCTGAACTAATTAAGCTACCCTCCCACCCACTCAACATTAGGATTGAGATCTGATCTAGAAGGAGACAGGGAGGTGCAATATAGTTGTCTACATAAGAATTTGGTTTCACATCTGCTCATTTTTCTTCATATTCATAGAATTTCTCTAGAAAATCATAAGGGTAAGGAAGGTGCTAAATAGTTATTCTGTGTCTGACTCCCCATCCTTTAAGTTTTCAGTGAGTGGTGCAGTAACATGTCTGTAATGAAGAATTACATTTCATTTCTGCTTCACTGTCCCTTCTGCTGAATTTCTCTAGTGGAGCAGAGAGCTGCTAATCTGGAAGCACATTCAGCAGTTCAGTTCTGGTAATCTTCTGGTAATAAAGAAGACCATGGAATTAAAAAAAAAAACTTTTAATGTTGTAACCAAGATTGTCTTTAAATCTCTTGAAAGCTGCAGCAAGATATGGTAGCATAGTGAATTTTCTTCACTTTAGTTTTCTTCAAGATTTCAGCCTCTATGAAAAATTTCTCTGAAAGAACAACCTACTGGTCTTACTAGAAACTAGGTAAGTTATAATGTAATTTTTAATTAACTGAAAGATGACTGACTTTTTAAAATTACACAATAAAAATATTCACCCAATTTCTTTGTCCTCTCCTGTCCAGTTCTTACTTCTTTTTTGGATTTTGCTTACTACATTGTCACTTAAAGAACAACTGTAGCCCTTGGTCCATCAGGAATTGCATTTCAATGTTCTAGTACCACACTAATTTAGTGCCTCTGACACGGGCAAAAACTAGTGCAGGAAATCTCTAGAAGGTTGGAAATGGGGTGATGATGGCATGTGGACTGAAACTGTTCAAGGAAGATGTATTGTTGAGAGGGCAATGCTTTGAGAGGGCAAGGGGCACCACTGCTTACAGCAAGAATGGTTTCTCTTCTCTTACACAGCAGTCTTTCCAGTTTTAGTTCTCTAAACAGAAGGATCCTTGGACAGAATATGTTCCATTTCAACTTCACTTGGCAAAAGCATTTAACAAGTGTAAAATCCTCAGTTAAGGTATCATAATGCCCCTTAAATTACAGCTGACCCTGTCTCTAAATTTCTGAAGAGCAGGAGAGAAACACTGTCCTTCACTGGATGGTCGGTCTTCTTTGAGAGTCCCACCTTTATGCAGCATTTCCCTCCTGGGCTTTATGGTGTACAGATAAGGTATGTGTGCTGGGAACTAAATGAGCAGAACAAGCATAGTTATCTTTTGAGTTAGCTGAGCAGTTACTAAATCTCCAGAGACAGATGAAGTACTGCAGTTTGTGAAGGAGGAATGATCTCATTGCTGCTTCACTTTTTTTTGTGCAGAATCTCTATGGAAGACGAAGGCTCTGACAAAACAACAATAAAGTTACACCAAGATTTTAAAGGGAGCACCTGATGGTTATATAGAACTGAAGGAGGAAAATGTTTCCCTGCCAAACTGGTGCTCAGGACCCTGACCTTCTCTGAGAGTGAATAAGAGGGAAGGTACTCAAAAGGGTGGTAATAGAGGCTCAAAAAGAAGCTGGACCAAGAGTCAGGAGATGATTCTCCCACAATATATCAAAGTCAAAGTAATCTTTATTGTCATTGTACTTCTTGTACAATGAAATTAAATGCCACCCCAGTGCAGCTTTACAAATATAAAA